TATATATATGTGTGTGTGTGTGCGCGCGCGCGCGCGCGCTCGCATGTGCTGAAAGTAAGTTGCTAAAGTGGTAGTACATGCTCACAACTTTGAATTTATCGGATAAATAATTCCTACTTACCTGTACCTCTATTTTCTTATTAATTATCAATATAATATATAATATATAAAAAAATCCCTACTTAGAAATTATTTAAAAAAAATTATATTTTTAATTTAGAATAATTCTAATTCTTTTTAAATGAAAATTTTAAGCTTAAATGTTCGTCATCTGTTATATATATTGAAAGGATTTAAATTATATTAAGATGGATTTGAAACTCATTGAATTCATTTCAAAATTAGTGCACTACAAATACTTCATATCTTCTGACCAGATCAGGGCATTGGGTGGACCTGATTTATTCGGGCTTTGATTAGTCAAAACGGGTTTGAGCCTGATTTCTATTTAGAGTTTTATAGCGAGACCCGCAAACTAAATAGTCCAGGCTAGCCTGCAGACCTGCGGGCTTTAACGGGAACAAAAGTTTAATGAAAAAAAATACTATTTCATATGAAAATATAAGCTAAAAATTTTATATTTTTAAAATATATCTAAATTTTACAAATCTTACGGGACTTTCAAAAATTTTGCAAAATGAAAAAATGTTAAGGTTTTAAATATGTAAATACATAGGAATAAATAATATGGCTGTAAAAATTTTTAGTTTAAATGTTAAACAGTCAATAGAAAAATTTGAATGGCATGCGTGTAAATATGAAGTTTGGGTGATTGAGTGGTATATATATGTATTTAGATGTGAAGATTTGGTGTAAAATATGTGGATACGTAAGAATTGATTGTTTGGTATGTAGATATGAAGATTAGGTGTTAAATATGCGAATGTGTAATAATCGAATAGTATGTTTGTAGAAATTTAAAGTTAAGATTTCAGACTCATAAATATATGAGAATCGCATGCTAACATTTTTCTTATATGCATGGTATGATGGTCCTTAAGATGGCCATAAATTCTACAGAGATTTCGATTTTACATGAAATTTGGTATATAATTTTTTTCTTGGATCGGGTTCCACATGGATGGGCCAGGTTTGGCTATTTCGAGCTTTGACTAAAGCAATGCAGGCTCAGGCTAGGACGGGTACGTGCTTATGGCGAGCCTGTCGGGCCACCAACCCAATGCTCAGCTCTACTTCTGAAACATCCATAAAAAAAAAAAAAAATCACCTGGATCAAAGACGAATGTGGATGTATATTTATACCAAAAGTTTTCAAATATTGAATTAAAACCTACCTAAGCTCCCATTTGAATGAAATGTCATGGTGAGATGAACAAAATGACAGTAAAAAAAGATATGATTTGAGTCCAAAGAAGCACTAATATTGCACTTAAAGCATAATAACACTAAATGATCTTCAAATCTTATAGATTTATAGCCAAATCAATCGTCCCGATGAGACAAATCTAATGAGCCCATGATTGCTTAATTTTGATATCATTATAACACTCGAATATTTATAAAATATCACTTAATCAAATGAATCACTCCAAGTTGTCTGACAGAGTGTTCAAGAATGAAACAATATTTACAGAAAATTTCATTCCCAAAATCTATAAATAGACTCAATCTTTCCAAGAATAGGGATTACATGAGAAAACTAAAAGGAGCTCTAAGCTCGAGGATCCCAAGTTCCACCACTGTTGAACCACCAGCTTATAAGGCCATAATCATGGGTGGACCGTCATTGCCCAGCCACCACCGTTACAAAACCACCACCATCATTGTGGACCATCACATTCAGCCATATTAAAGTTACAACTCAACACTCTCAAATCCTCCATAATTCCTCATCGAGGATTAGGATATATAAATTAATAATATTTCAAATATAGGAAAGATCATATATTTGGATCTCCTCAAATTATATTTCACAACATAGAATGATCATACAATTAGAACTCCCCAAATTATGTTATCTAATATCAATCTTCCTAACATATAGCATAATAAAAACAACGTGATTTCTTAGAACAATATTTATAAAGTACCATTGATCTTAAACATTACACTACCAACAATTTTTAGAATATTAGGCGGCTTTTATAAAGCAAATACATTAACAAAAAATTGAAATTCTTCACATCTCCTTAGATTTGCTTACTCCCCTTTCTAGGAGATAATTTGGCCGCTTGAACTTGAGCGTAATTAATTTACACAAGTTAAAACTTAGCTGGCCTGGGGTGATTGAAACATGAATGATTTACTTAGTTGGAATCACTGAAGGAAAATAGAGATGTGGAGCAAACTTTGGTAGCACATTATTAGTTCTTTTCCCTAAAATCTTATAGCTGAATTTTTAGTTAGACTTGGAATTAAAAATTTGAATCAAAGAAATATAAATGGATAGTATTCTGATAAAAAAAAATGAATTTCAAAGGGCATGGGGCGAAATGTGTCAAGATATTGTCATTTTCTGCCTTTTTTTCTTACTTTTTTTTTCATAATAAAGTTAAGAGACAGATATATCTATACTAAATAACACAGCTAAACCATTACACATTCAAATGTATAATCATTTGGCTTCTCAGTCTAGCCCAAAGTAATCAAATAAAGGAAGAAAATTATGAAACAAATTTGAGGAGTCCAAACCCTAAATTGAGCACATTTATAATTTTAGACTACAACAGCCCCATTAAAATCATTTAAGCCATTCTGATATTTTATTTCTCATTAAGCATAAAATAATCTATGATGAATTTTCAACAACATATGCATTTTACACAAACAAAACAGTATGTCGTTGAATCAGCTCTTAAAATCAGACTTAGATTTGCTCTCAATGCAATATCAACAAACTTAAGTTGGCATTTACGATATTAAGTTCAACTTCGGCTTGGTATGATCATATCTTATGAAATAAAATCATAAGACTCACAGATAAAATACAAACGATATAAATGAAACAAACAGCGAAAACTTCTTTTTATTCATGTAAGAAATAAATGTTAACATATATAACCTCTCCTGATTAGAAGCCAATGGGCACCCTCTGCTGCTCGAAAATAGCGAGAGCATGGAAAGTGAAGTACCGAGATCTCAAGGAGAGCAATATGGGAAAATACAAAAGGGGTTCAAAGAATAAGAGGGCCTCCAAAGAGCTTAAACCAGGTCAATCAGCAAGTTGATCAGTCGGGATTTGGCCAAATATGTCGGGACAATCATCCCACTGTCCCTTCTCCCTCGCCTCCCAGTAGCCGCCTATGTAGCGGTAGGTATCGCCGCCTTGATCTTTAGCAAACCACCGGGGCTTCCAACCCCTCTCCTGCATTCTTCGAGCCTGCGTCATGCGGTTTTTAATCCATGAATGAATGTCAGCTAAAGATGGAATAGGTAAATGAGTCGAGCTCGAGCCAGCCTCGGCTTGAGCTTGAGCTTCATAAATTAATCAAGTTCGAGCTCAAGCTCGAGCTTAAGTGTATGAGTTTGAGCCGACTTGTTTATCATAAAATAGAGAAAAATAAAACTAATTCAATCTAATATTATAATAAAATGACAAATGAAGAGCATAATTATGAGATAAATAATAAGAAATAACTTGATATAAAAAATATAATATCAATTTTAAATTTTTTTTGATAATTTAGAGATAAATTCTTGTATTTAATATATTTTAATATATTTAATAATAATGTTTTTTTTTAACAAATGGGCTCACGAGCTAACGAGTTGAGTAAGGACAAGCTTGAACTTAGCTTGTTAGCTCATAGAGTTCAATTACCTCATGAAGCTCAACTTACAAGCCATTTATCAAACCAAGTTTGAACCGGCTCATGAGTCAGCTTCGTTCAATTACACCCCTATTATAGGTATCTGATTTCAAGTTCATTCTAGAGATCCAATCATAACTCAAAATCTTTCAGAGTTAATTTCTAATTTGACCTTTCAGGCTACCACACAGCATGAGTTGATTCAATGAGGATTGAACTGTGTATGTATTTCATGATATATGCAACAACAATATAATATTATGCTTTAAAGAATGAACTTTTATGTATCCATGTATAATTAAATGAGTTAATTTCAATTCTAATTTCTACTTGAGATGCAAGAAAGTAGCCATGCAACCCTTTGTGGATTCCTACAGTGTTGGTTGTCAACTAATTCAAAATGAAACTATTGGTTGTCAACCTGTTTTTATGAGCCCTTTTTATACAATGTCAAGGCTGTTAATCCTCTTTTTGGAATTTTCCAATTTTTTTTTCATCTTCCTCATCATCATTAACGTTATCTCAGCTATTTTGGGGGAGAATCTTATACATCTCGTTTAGGAAAATTGAAGAAAAAAGGCAATAAAACTAGTATTTCGGTAAAGCTTTTCTAAGAGATTGATGAAAGCAAAAACCCTAAATCAAGTTCTCAGAATTTACCTGGCGTTGTCTCTGCTCCAATCTCAACTTCTCCGCATTTGCAGCATCAAACTCCCCATTTTCCAAGCATCTTTGATCTGGTCTTAGCCTTGAATCAGTGGGTGGTAGCTGTTCCTAATCATCACCATCATCAAAACAGTAAATGGCACAAGCCAATGAGCCTAGATAGTTTTGGTGCTTTTTAACACTCAAGGGTCGTTTGGGATTTCTTCTGATTTTTCTTTTAATTTTTATTTGTTTTTAGCGAAAATAAAATATGTTTGGCATTGTTATAACATGATTAATTTTAGAAACAGTTAAAATAATTTTTAGGTATTTTAAGTTTTTTTATAAACAAATTAATCATTTTGAAAAAAAAATAAAATCAGCAAAAAATATATTAAACAAATATATTTTTAAAATAAAAATAAAAGTAAAAGTGATCCCTAACAAGCTCTAAACAACTCATTGATCCTCACCTTCAAACCAGGAGTGAGCTCATTCAACGTAATCGCAAAGCGTGTAAGGTTGTATCGGGTTGGATTCTTTGGAGGTTTACTGCGTTTCCATAATAGATGAGCCTGAGATGGGATTTCAGCGCCTTTTCCCTTCACACTGGGATCACCATTCACGTAATGCACGCTTTCATCCCACTTACCGAACAATGTTGCCATTGTTTTACCATTCCGATTCTGAACTATGCCATGGACCTACATATGCAATTCTATGTTTGAAGATTACACTCTCACATAATCAAAATAAATTATCCAAGTGGATTGAAATAAAAAAAAAACAAAAAGGACAATTAAATAAACAACTCGTAATATTGTTATTTATAAAACTAGCACCTAAGTGATTTTTTAAACCATGAAACTAATGCATTTACGCTTGCAATTACAAACAAAAAACATGCAGCCATTAAATAGTCCTAAAACAGCGTCTCTAAAACTTGTTTTTAAAAAAAATAAGGATAACAAATTCAGTCAGCATGTCATGCCGCAACGCCAATCTGTTTTATGAAGTATGGACATAGAAACACAAACACGACATGGCAACACAACATTTCTGTAAGAACTAGGAAATGACATGCCATTAACACGCTCTTGTATTTTATGGAGTAATAATATAAATATGTATTTTGAGTATTTTCTATTAAAGAACATCATCCAGTGATGTGTGATACTAATGAGAAGGTTCACAATAACAAAAGGAAAATAAAACTATTAAAGGAAATGATTTATCACTTTTGACAATAATTTGTTAACAAAACTCTTAACATTAGCATTTATTAATCATTGTTTGTTGCCACATATTTAGCCAATATCAATAGTGCTTATAGTATGTCAAAAATCCTAAAAATACATGGAATTTTATATTTTCTTCAAAAAAACCAAATAAAACAAGGAGATATGGGTATATTGATGAGTTATCATAACTAATTAGATTTAGCATGCTAAATATTTTGGTTGTCCTTTGCATCAGCACTCGTGCCCTCCTCATAAGCATTCAAAGATTCACTCATAAACAAGCAAGTTTTAGGAAATAACCAATGGTTGAAAAAAAATACTATTCACAACTAAAAAACCATGATCAGTGCCAATTTAAAGCATATACAACTTGTCTAGGTTTACGTTCTTGATGCGTCCAAGAAAATTTCCGGTGGTAGAGCGATTAATTAATAATATCTTAGCGTTGCACCGGAACCCATCCCACATTTCAGTAAGAAAAAATGATGAGCAGAAACACCAAAAGATTTTTATGTACAAAAACCCAAAAGGAAAAAAATAATGAGATCTGACCCAGTTGAAATGAACTACTATAAATTGGTGATTACGGATATAGTCATTTATTCCACAGGCGAAAAAAAGTTACACAATCTTCAGAGCTACAACGTTGGTGCATGGATGTATTTGTTGCCCCGCAGTAGAGGGGATCACAACAGGGAGTGACCTGTTGTGATAGTCAGGGCTTAAATGCACCGTCTTCGAGTGCAAAAGTGATCACAGCGGAGAGTGTTCACATGATCTTCAGTGCAGAAGTGACGTTGGATTTCAACTCCTCCAAGCTTCAGTTTTCTTCAAGTTTCAAGATCTCCCGATCCCCTCTAAAGAGTGGGGTAAGACTTTATTTATAGTCTCGGATGCAATTAATGAAGGAATATGAACCACTTCAATCGGACAGCCCGGAGAAATTCCCTCGATTGGATGATATTTGATGGACATTTGATTGTATTAATGATGATGAAATTGAGTGATATTCGACCACAATGAGGTGTCAGGACGTTATGTGTTTCTCAAGATTGGACACAGTTCGCAATGGACTATATTATTTCTTGGAAATATAGTTATAACCATACTCAAGAATGATTGTTGGCAACTTACTAGTTGCTGCTTTTGAACTTGTCCCTCTAGCGAGTGTGTTTTCTACAAGAGCTTATAAAGCAACTCATATAATGAACCTTGAAGAGATCAACTTCCTGATATGATTGAAGAACTCTAATATGGTGAGGGCACTGGGAAAGTTTTATATATAAAGTTGTCCCTCTAGCGAGTGTGTTTTCTACATGAGCTTATAAAACAACCCATATTTTGAACCATGAAGAGATCAACTTCCTGATATGAATGATAAAAAACTCTAATATGGTGAGGCCACTGAGAAAGTGTTATATATGAAGTTGCCCGCCCACCCCCGCCCCCCCAGTCTGGAAGCAATTCCCCAAAACTTGATGTTCAAATGAAACGTAGGAAAACTACGCCAATATGGCCTTGCCCAAGATATTAATGAGAACAACCTTTCAAGACTGCAATAAATGTTGCTTCGAGCATGGAAGAAGTTGTCATAGACTTGATGTCTAAATGAGATGTAGAAAGACTACCCCACTATAATTGTGCCTAGGACGTTGCGTGAATGACCTTTCGAGACTGCAGTGAAGGCTGCCCCAATATCCCTGAATGAACCACGCACATAGTGTAATCAGCTTCAGATGGGGAAAGACGCTAAGGTATGAACCGACAATTGTCTTCTTATATGACTCGTCACTAATAAGAATGAATTTGACGACCATGCGTCGGAGGCGAATCGACGTAGTAACATCATCGGGCAGTGTTCCATCTTGGAGGAAGAAGATGATGAGGCTCATCCAAGATAGCTTCTTTGGCTCATCCATAGGTAGTATCTCCCAAGGGACTTGGATGATGGGAAAATGTACCTCCTCGATGCGCCTTCTTTTGAAGAGATCTCTAGTAGTCGAGGCCGTGAGCTTAGAGAGGACATCGACTCTTTTGTTCTACTCTCGAAGTATTGAATGATTTGGTGTGTTTCGTCCAAGCGCGGTGCGTATTTACCAAGCTGAGATACTGCACTAGCTCTGAGTTGTGGGCATCAAAATTTCCCTCTACTTGGGATGTGACAAGCTGAGAGTCGGTGTGGATGATACGGTTTTCCACTTCATAGTCGATGACAAGTTTTAAACTTGCAACGAGGGCTTCATACTCAATAACATTAGTGGTGGTTGGCAATTTCAGGTGGAGTACGTACTCCAAGACGTCCTGCATTAGGAAAATGATTAGTACCCCAACACCAGCCCCAAAATTTTCGGATGCTCCATCCACGCACAGTGTCCATTGAGGTGAAAAGGGAAAGAAAGAGGTGACTTGTCAGAGGCTAACACCATGTGCTTCACCACAAAGTTGACAAGTACTTGCGATTTGATGTTTGCTCAGGTAGGTAGCGGATGTTGAACTCTCTCAACTATACTAACCATTTAATTAATCTTCTCGATGCCTCTGACTTTTGTAGGATAGCCTTCGAAGGGAGTTTTGTAGACGCTGATAGTGTGGATCTAGAAGTACGAACGGAGTCTCCATGCGGAGTATATCAGGGCTAACACAATTTTTTCTGCTACCAGGTAACAACTTTGTGTATCGAAGAGAATCTTGGTGAAATAGTATACTGGTCATTCAATCGAATTTTTCGCCCTAACTAGAACAGAGCTTATCATGTGACGTGAAATAGCCAGATAGATATGCAGCATCTCCCGTTGGACAGGCTTTGAAAGGAGTGATGTTGAAAGTCATTTATGTCTTGGCTGCTTGAAAGCAGCCTAATATTCATTTGTCCATTGAAAACCAACATTCTGAACACCTCTTAGTATCTTAAAGAATGGCAGGTACTTGTCCACAGAATAAGCCAAGAAGTGGAATAAAGTGACTATACGACCGTTCAAGCGTTGAACCTCTTTGATGTTCCTTGAGGGCACCATGCCTCTCAATGCATTGATCTTCTATGAGTTTGTCTCAATTCTGCGATGAGTAACCATGAATCTTAAAAACTTCCTTGGGTTAGGTTTAGAGGTTGAAACCACTTAATAGTTTCTTCATTCTTGATGGTCATCAAGACTATAACGCAAGATCTGTCGAACGGTGTATACTATTTCTTGGGTCGATGCTCACTTCACTGGCTTGGTCACGATTCCCCTGTTCTTCAGACTTTTTCGTCGTTGAGGATTGATTGGTGTCTCCAGTGTTATGTTTTCGTTTTCCTCTGAATTGCTCATTTTGAGCGCCGATGTCCTCGCATCAGTGACGAGCAGAAAGGTCTCAGGCACAACCCCCAAGGAAGACCCCCCTCCCCTCAATAACTCTAGATCCATTCCCGAAATTTGGCAAGCTTCAGTTGAGAACATGCAAAAGTAGTCCATGAGTGACTCCCTCATTTTGTATGAATTCCCGAGAAATAGGATAATTCCTTGATGATCTGCCAGTTCCCAATAAACTGCTCCACGAATAGTCTGACAAGCTTGTTAAAGATGTTGATAGTACTCCTTGGAAGTAGAACCAGGTGCAAGCTTGTCTCTTGAGAGTGGTTGGAAATACTTGACATAGAAGAGCACCAAAGGCACACTTGGGGCAGCTTATTTGCTGCGGCGGCGTTTTCAAAACGTCGTTGTCCTGTTTGTTTTGCGCGTTTGAATAGCTTATGGCAAAACGTGGTTATGTGTTTCTTAATAGACGCGGACGCGGGATCGACCCCGCGTCCGGCGTCTTCAATTCGCGTTCGGACACAATTTTACTCCCGTACCCTTCTCCTCTCCCTCTCCTCCCTCATCGATCTCCCGATCTCGAGCTCACTAAGAGGATGTTTCGATTCGCCGATCTCGGGTTGATGTTTCGTCTTCAATCCGCATCGAGCGGTTTTTTCTTCGCATGCCCTTCTTTTGTCTCCTCCCTCCCTCGCCACTTTCGTCCGCTTCTCTACTTCTTCTCCACGATCTCTTTCAAGTTCATGGAAATGACCAAGCAGAAAAGGAAAAGCCCTCGTCTCTACCTTCCGCCCCTTCTCTAATTATTCCCCGCGATCTGTTTCCATTTCGTGGAAAACGATGAAGTAGAAAAGGTAAAGGGGAATGAGTTTGGAGGAGAAAGAGATTGGACATGATCAAGTTTAATTTTTTGATTAAACTATTGTTTGGTACTGATCAAGTTTAATTTATTTTTAAGTTGTTTTTGCTTCAAATTATTAAGATTAATTTTTTAGAAAAGTAGAAGCGAATTAGGATTGTTAAGGTTAATTTTTAACAACTAATTTTGCACCTAATGCATTTACAGCAAAAAAACTCTTTTATAATTTCTTATGCAAGCTGAAGATACTCTGAGTAAAAAAAATGTCTATTTTCTTCAAGAACATTAATGATTTACTTGGATTTTTCTAT